CTTTCCCAGCATGCACTGCAGCCCCACTACAATTCCCATGTGCCCGTGCTCCTCCCCCTCTCCCCGACTGCCAGTCCCACAATCCCTTGGTTCTTGAAAAGGATTGTGCCAAACCATAAATTTGTTGTACATGGGGCCAGAGCACCTTGGTAAAAGCGGCATGTCCCACTCCATGTCTTTGCACCTTCCTCTGAAGCAGCTGGTACTGGCCCTGCCGGGAGACAGGATCCTGGACTAGATGGATCCTGTTGTGCTCTAGTCTCCTGAGTCCCAGGCTAGTGCCCTAAACATTGGACCATCCCTCCTTCATCTGCCCTGCCTTCTTCCTGCCACTGATCCTCCACCATCTTGTCTGCACCATCCTCCCTCCATCATGCCAATCCTCCTCTTTCCCTTTCCCTCCTTCTAATCTGTCCAGCCGCTCTCACTATAGGACCTTTTTGCACATGCCTATTGCCTTCAACTCCCGCTATTGGCCTCCCCAACCCTGTCATGGGATGATTCTCCATGGCTGACTGGTTCCAGCACTTACTACATTCACCTTCACCGGTCCTTGTCCTCCTTGCACTTGGCTCAGATGCTGTCCTTTGCTCGGATTCCCTTCACTCCATTCCCAGGAGTCACATGCAGGAAGAGAACTCACGGCCTCTTGTCCCTGCTGTGAGAGCATCTCACTAGATCACTGGGTTTGATTTGTCATGCAGAAGCTGCTGGAGGAATTGGCTCAGTGACGGGAGAGCAGTCACACTTAAAAGCAGTGTTTGCAAATCTTTCCTAGTCCCTGCGTTACTCAGAGCTGAGGCCCAGCGACACTAGTATAAAGCGGAGTTTACAATTCAGGCCTCAGCACCATGTAAATGGGGCTCTAACACAGATTGGTGTGCCAGTAGGGATGGGGGGAATCTTCCTGTATTTTCTGATACCAAAAAATTCCCTGAGATTCCATTCTGTATTCCTACCCCCCATTCTGTGTCTCTGGCTTCCCTCTGGAATAAGCAGGAGTCACTTCACCAACTGTAAGCTGCAGGTCACTTACCATTGGACATTGTAAGTCACATGACCAGACTTGAGCGTAAAATGAGGTACGGCCACAAAGTAGGCTAGATCTGGAACCTGGGCAGTAAGGTTGGATGAAGTGATTGTGGCTCTAAGGTAAAAATAATGCAAGTGAACATGTGCAGTATAAGGGTAAGGAACAGTCAAGCAGTGCTAGCCTGGGCTAGCTTGGGGCTGCTTCTCCTGGTAGCTAAGGATTAGGGAATGTTTGATGGTGAGCATGCTCAGTAGAGTTTAAAAATAGACAGTAGAAAAGAAAGTTTGGATAGGACAGTATAAAAGGGAGACGATCAGCAGGCAGTCAGGAGCCAGTGAGAAGAGCTGCTGGAAGGACTGCTAGATAGAAAGAAGGAGAGCGAGAATTTCAAAGGAACATTCTAAACTGGCAGGTAACCAGAACTGACCCAGCAGCAGCAGACAATGCAGTGAAATCACTAGTGTAGGCCTGTTAGTTTTAATTATAGTAGAGCATAAGTGTAGTTTAGTATTAGTATGTGTATGCTTAAGATGTCTGTATGTGTTTTAATTGTAATTTACCTATGTAAAATGTAAAGTGTAAATTAAGAACTGCTGTCAGCGATCTGTCACAGACTGGCCATCTGTGGCAAAGTGCATCATTTAGACTGTTTACTACTGCAGTTTAGATTCCCTTTAACTTGCAATAAGGAATTTTTATTCTTAGAATACCCTGTAGCAGGGATTATTAGTTATATTGATAAAAGATACTTCATTTTGGAAAAATAATATTGCCTTTGTCAATCATTTTATCGGAAGGTTATAGCCGTGTCATTTAGTGTTTTCCTTAACGGCCCTGGAAACCCATACCTTGGGAGGCATAGAGTAAGGGGGTGATAAGCAGGTTATTCTAGGGGTGCCCAAATCCAATTTTCAGGGTAACACCTCCATTCCCTAACCTAGCAAGGGCCCTGCCTATGTTACCTGATCAATCAAATCATGTTAGATGACAGTTCCTACAGTATAGAAGGGGGCTAGGACACTCTGGGAGTGTCTGTCACCAAAATGAGGGAGGTTTTTGATGAAAAACTGCAAACACCTAAGCCAGGGGTCGGCAACCTTTTAGAAGTGGTGTGCCGAGTCTTCATTTATTCACTCAAATTTAAGGTTTCGCGTGCCAGTAATACATTTTAATGTTTTTTAGAAGGTCTCTCTCTATAAGTCTATATATTATTAAATAAACTAGTGTTGTATTGTAAAATAAACAAGGTTTTCAAAATGTTTAAGATGCTTCATTTAAAATTAAATTAAAATGTTGATCTTACGCCGCCAGCCCGCTCAGCCCGCTGCTGGTCTGGGGTTCTGTTCACCTAGGCCGGCAGCGGGCTGAGCGGGGCCTGCGGCCGGGACCCCGGCTGGCAAGGGTCCAGCAGCCAGAACCCCAGACCGGCAGCAGGCTGTGCGTGGCTGGGAGCCCAGACTCAGCCCACTGCCGCTCAGAGGTTCCATCCACTGGCTCCTGCCAGCCAGGATCCCGGCTGCTGGATCCGCTCAGCCCACTGCCAGTCTGGGGTCCTGGCCCTGCCCACATACAGTGGGTACCTACTTTCTCCCTGGTTCTGGCCCATTCTCTTCCTCTCTCTGCACTGAGCTGAGGATGGAAGTGCACTGAGCACAGGGCTGGGGGTGAAGGGTCTGGCCAGGAGCTAGAATGAGGGAGGGGGCTCAGGGTTGGGGCAGGAGGTTTGGGTGTGGGGCACTTACCTGTGCAGCTCCCATTTGATGTGAGGGGTGCAGGTAGGAATGTGAGGGGGGCTGCAGGAGCTCCCGTTTGGTGCTCAGGGTGGGGGTGGGGGGTCTGGGGATGTGGGGGGGTGCAAGAGTCAGGGCAGAGGGCTGGGGGCATGTGAGGGGGTGCAGGTGTCAGGGCAGAGGGGGGACTGGGTATGTGTGGGGGTGCCAGAGTCAGGGTTGGGGTCGTGGGGGGGTGTGTGAAGGAGTCAAGGAGAGGGCTGGGTGTGTATGAGGGAGGTACAGGGCTCAGGGCAGGGGTCTGGGGGTGTGCAGGGCTCAGGGCTGGGTGTGTGTGGGGGGAGGTCAGGGGTCAGGGCTGGGTGACTGCAGGGCTCCAGGGGAGGGCGGAAGGCGGGGGAGGGTCTGGCGGCTTGCACTCAGCCGGGCGCTCCGGCCCAGAAGCGCGGACCCTGCGGCTTGCCACACCGGGAGAGTGGGGCTATTTGCCCACCCCGTGCACATGCCTATGCTTCTGCTCCCTGGCCCCTTGGGGGGGAGTGGAGGGCAGAGGAAAGTAGGCCAGGCTGGGCAGGATTTTTAATGGCATGCTGGAGTCCCGGCAGGCAGCAGCGTGCTATTAAAAATTGGCTCGCGTGCCATCTTTGGCACGCGTGCCATAGGTTGCCAACCCCTGACCTAAGCAATGCAAGAAAATACTCTATGTTAGAAGTTTATGGGGACCAACCCTTGCAGGGAAACCCTACCAAAACTCAGGACCCAGCAAGTCAAATTAGCCTTTGAAAGAAATCCCTTAAGTCTTGCTCTTTGTCATTCCTGAGCCTAGTCTCATTCCCATGCTGATCAGAGATCCCAGAAAGGTCCTTTAATTTATTTAAAGAAAACCATTTCATGGGAGAGATTAAACAGCTTTTAGCATGACTAAAGATTTGCCATTTGCCTTAACTTGCCCAAGACTGGAAGTGCTTTGTGCACAGAGACTGATTTTATGGCCATGGGGCCTGGGATCGCAGCTAAGGCTGAATGACAGATTTCCTTTTAATAGGAAAGAAAAATGCCAAGGAACTTTTCTGTTTTTTTGAATTGCAGGGAATACAGGAATGACAAATTTTGCTCTTGATGCAATTTTAATTATTTTCCTATCATTTCTTTGATGGTACTTGCTATTTGAATGGGAAAAATAAACAGAATATAGTGCTGATTGCTCTTTTATGTATAGACTCAGAAACTGTCTCCTCACATCATCACGCACAAAGGCCAGTCTACACTAGCTGAGAATATGTCACCACTAACTGTTGCTTGGAATGCATTAAGCTTGCAACAGCTTAGGACTGCAAACAACAGCTATCCCAAATGGTGATTCTACTAGCTGTTCGCAGTGTCTGGCATGAAGCTGTTAGCTTAGTGTTGGCTGCACCAGTGCAGTCTGCAGTATTTGGGTCCCTGTGTAGTTGGGAATGCACAAGCACTGAATGTGCCCAGGTTCAATCCATCCTCCCAACTCCACTCCATAATGCATAATTTCACCCAAGGAAATTACCCACACTCCCAGCAACATTGTGAGCCCCCAGAGGAGTCCTAGAAAGTAAGAGTGTAACACTGGCAGACCAGGTGCCAGCTCATGGCGAGGGCCCAGGCCTCACTGAACACTGACAAATACAGAGTTGGAAACCAGTCTGGCTCACCTGTATGTTAGTACGGTTAAAACAGATATTAGAGTTATAAGAATGTGTTTAGTTTATACTTTATGAAATGCTTGTAGGATGCTGCATGTCTTATCTCACTTATAATATCTGTATCCCATGTAATATTTAAGTATTTATTCTGTAACTATGGAAGTGTTTGCTATGAAACTGGGATACCCCCACCACCAGCAGGAGAGAAGCATTACCAAAGTGTGAAATACTAGTGTACCACAAGAGGTGTCATCTCCTGCCCAACAAAAGATCTACAGCCACAAGACAAGCCACAGTGGTACATCAGTGGACTTGTTGATTGCTCCCTCACACCCATGAAGAGGTGACGTGCACAAATGTTTGTCCCATCAGTTTGAACTCAGAGGCAAAAGGAATAAAAATGCTGTTTGGATGGACTCTGAGGGGTAAAGATTCCTAAACATAAGCAAAGATCCCCAGTTGGGTTAGCCCTAAAGAACATATAAAGCTTGCATATTATAGCAGCTATCATAATCTTTTGGCACCTGCTTTAACCTTGTAAATAACTCTTATTTCTTTTAATAAACCTTTAGACAGTTTATTACAGGATTGGCTACAAACATTATCATTAGTGAGAAATCTAGGGTGCACTTGACCTGGGGTAAGTGACTGGTACTTTGGGACTGGGAGTAACCTGAATATTGCTGTGATTTTTGGTGTAAGGGATCATCTATCACAGAGGCAGGCTTGCCTGGGTGACAAGACAGCCCTGAGCGCCTGAGGGGACTGTCTATGACTCCAAGTTAAGGCTGTTACAATGGTTTAGGAGTTCACACTTGTTATTTGGTTGATGAAATCTAAGTACAGAACATACAAGGAGTTTGGAGTTCCTGCCTTGTTTCTTAACAGACTGCCCGGAGGTTAGCACCCATATTTGAGAGTCATTCTAGACACCTTGGCAATTGGTACAACTGCAATTGCAAATCTTTCTGGGTGGTGATAGCCAAGATGGTTCTGATGCAAATAGAGCTGCTGTGTTGACATACCAGCTGCTGTCAGGACAAGTGAGGCAGACAACTATTTCACACAGCCCATGTCCCTGCAATGGTCACTTAGCATAGGCACAGCACCCATATACGCATGCCCTATCCATGCTAGGTTATAGTATACTGGAAACAGTGCTACAGGTTTGGGCATCTCAGTATGAGCGTATCAGACCAACTGTGTTCTCTGTTGAATTTCAAGGGCTGGTGTGTATGCAAATAACAGGCATCCTTGTAGGAAACAGAGGTGTATTCCATACTCTAAGGGTTTCACTTTCACACCCATTGCATCAGCAAGCCCCTTTGTGTACATTGACTGGAAACTGACAGAGCAAACAGCGCCAGTAGGGACGCGACCCCAATCATTCATGCAGCAACCAAATCTGGGGGATGCCAGGGGAGCACATTCATTCTCATAGAAGCTCCAACCATGGCTAGATTGGTCCCAAGTACTTTCGGCTCGAAATCCTTCCAGACCACAGCTGGGAGTCAGACAAAGCCCTAGAATAGAACATGCCATGCCAAGGGAGCTTCTGTGTCAAGATGGGGTGGGTAGGAGAGGAGCTATCATTAGTGGTAACTCCAGGCATTGTATTCACAACAAACAATATTATCATGGTACTCAAGGTTACTGCAGGCAGTGGTGGGTGCTGGCGGATGTCCAGAGCAGTGCAACATCCTGTTCCTTTACTTATTAAACCTCAAGGGGGGGGGGGGCATACATGGGTAGGGAACTGGGCGATTATGGCCATTTAACCTTTGAAATGAAATGTTTGTTCTAAAACGTCTCTCACCCTGATTCTCAGGAAATGCAGAGCTAGCACCTACCCCACAAATCTGGTAGCTGTAGGATTTCCCTACCCTGATAGCATGAACAGCAGATGCAGAATGCATTTCTCAGGGACATGAGGTCCTCTCAAGAGGCCGTGCCTGGGTCAGAAGAGGGCACCTCTGCTGTCCTCTAGATGGGTGGCTTGTCATTCCTCATTAGTCCTGCAGCAGATGCAGTAAACCATATGCTCCTCAGAAAGCAATGCCCCCATTGCAGTGGGAATGTTCACCTACAGCAGAATGCACATTCCAGCCCAGCAGCTGGCACATTGTACTACACAATGTGTTTGGGCTTTCCCCTGTCTAACGGGCTGTAACCAAACAAGGATGGGAGGAATCCAAACCAGGCAAATGCTAAATCCGTTGAGCCTGTCTGAAGCCTAAAAGTGTCCAGACCGGTTCAGTTTTCACTTTGTAATTGCACAACCCACTCTGCTTTAGTGGCAACTCCTGCATCACTGTGTTCCTTACCTGCATTCCCTGCACTAGGCACATCCCCCAAATACCCTCCCTTTACCAGGCACTTTCCTGGTGTGTGCTCCCATCCACAGATGCATTTCCAGCACACGCTCCCTGCACGAGGAGCCTCCTCATGGAGAACATGGACCTTACTTTTCCCCTTCCAAAATGGGAAAACAGAATCCTCTTTGACTGAATCCACTGATAAACAGGAACATGCCACATCTATCAATAACCCTTGTTCATCCTTTGTCATTCCAGAGTTAGCTTATCATATGAGCTATGGATTTGGTCTGATTTAGGCTTGGTTCCTTCTCACTTTTTTCTCCGCTTATGGTGGTTTTTTAATGTGCAGTAGAAGAAGCCCCACTGCCCAGGTTTTGTTGTGAGTCCAGGTGAAGTGGCTTCAGTTTTTACAGGTGGGTCTTCTGGGGGGGGGGGAGGAGGAGCAGGACGTGTGAGGGAAGCAAAGTGTCACTCTTCGCTGGCTGATGGTTGGAGGAGGCGGTGAATTTCCTGGAAGGAGGGGCGATCTTTCGTGTCTCGTCTCCAGCAGCTGAGCATTAGCTTGTAGACAGGATCAGGGCAGAGAGCAGGTTGGGGAAGGTATGTCTTCAAAACAAAACAGACATTACAAAAGCAGAGAGTTAATGGCATACTTAGACAGCCTGGAAGAAGAGCAAACTCACGCCAGGGAACTTGATTTCTCATTATGGAGGGGCCGGTGCCCATTGTAGAAAAAGAAAGCCAAAGGTCCCAGACTTATTGTGAACTGCATAATGTATTGGGCTAGAGAAATGGGACACTGAATGCAGAGGTTTGATTGTATCCCATTACCCAGCTAATTACTACTGTCCTCTGAACACTGGGAGTAGTCAGGATCGTGCTAGGGCTCAATCCTGTGCAGTGCAGAGGGTTCAGACCCAATCCAGCAAAATGTCTCAAACACAGAAAGCACGAGCCACCAAAAGCAGCTAGGGTATAATGGTGATGAAGTCTTTTGCTCCCAGCCTATTTACTCTTTGGCTCATGCTCTAACTCAGCCTGGGTCTGGGCTCCCAGTGCTGCAGGGGAAGGTTACACTGAATGAAAAAGTTTGCACTGGAATTTTAAAAAAATACAATGAAAGGAACTTTGTGGACTGGGGAATAAAGTCGAAACCTCCCATTCCATTATAATCCTGATTTGGATACACACACACACACACACACACACACACACCACACAACCCCACCACACATGCTAACTTCACCAAACCTTAACCCAGATGCCTGAAATTATCATAAGATGTATGCAGCTGCAGCAACAAAGACTGCAGGTCAGAAAACAGAATTTTCATTCTGCAGGAAATTTCAACACTTCAATATTTGTTTTCTTTCCAAATCGGAATGAAAGTCTAAATTTTCCACCAAATGGAAATTCCAAAACATCAAAATGTTTTTATTAAAATGAAATAATTTTACCTTATTGAATGTCAAAACAATATAAAATATTAAATATATTATATTTAATAGATATATAATATATTTTAATATAATATAAAAGTCAAAACAGTAAAATTGAAACAAAACATTTTGACATTATTGAAATTAAATGAGAAAGCTGAAATGATTCACTTAGAGATTTTTCCAGTGAAAATTTCATCAAAATGAACACATTCCTGTGAAAAGTTCTTATTTTAATTATACTGCATTTTCCAAAGGAAACCTATTAGCCAAAAAATTTCAAACAACTTTAGCAACAAAGTTTCACCAAAAAGATGTTTGCCTGAAATTGCAGAGAGGCTGAAACTTTGACTCTGATGGGTGTGAATCATGCTGAAAATACTCAGCAACGTATGTCATGCCAATGGGTGTTTCCATCTCCAAGCCATTGCTGTGCATGTTGGGTGGGAATGAAGCACACAGAATGCAGACAGAGCACATTAGCAGTGAGCCAGAATTCAGGATACAGAATTTGGGTACCATATACCTGATTAAGTGATACTTTGCTACTGTAGACCGGAAACAAGGGGCATATATTTTTGACAATGAGGGTGATTAACCAATGGAAAAATTTACCAAGGGCTGTGGTGGATTCTCCATCACTGACCATTTTAAAATCAAGATGGGATGTTTTTTCTAAGAGATCTGCTCCAGAAATTATTGTGGGGAAGTTCTGTGGCCTGTGCTACACAGGAGATCAGACTAGATGATCAGAATTGTCCATTCTAGCCTTGGAATCTTTGAAAAACTAGTGTGCCTGGGGGAGCAATGAAGTATAACTGCTCCCAGAAGGAAGGCACTAGGCAGTGTGGACTGCGATGACTTCAAGAAGTCAGGAGCCAGGGGAGTTTCTATTGCCAACACAGGTGTAGCTCAGTCTAAGGGATCTGATGGGGGGAGCTGCCAAGGTTGTCTTGGAAATCGTGCTCTTGATTTTGAAAGTTACTGACAACGTAACCCTGTGTGTGCTGGAAGTAGGGTGACCAGATGTCCAGATTTTACCAGGACTGTCCCAATATTAGGGGCTTTGTCTTCTTTAGGATCCTATTACCTCCCCCCGCCCCCCACCCAATCCCAATTTTTCACCCTTGTTATTTGGTCACCTTAGCTGAAAGGGTCCCACTTCCTCTATGTTTCTGGACATTCTCAAAGAACCTAGGCACAGAGAGGGCTCTGGAGGAACCTGCACTGGGCATTTCAGTACTCTCCTTTTTCGTCTTTAAAGTGAGACCGACCTTAACGCTGAATTTTCAGCCTCTCTAACATTGTATTTCGGTTTACATTGGAAACTGAAAGTTTATGGAGCTCTTCCTTTGAAGGTTTTGATAGAAATTGCACTTTCAAGCTTAACTTATCCTTAACCAAGCTTTTTGTGGGCTGGTTATGTTGAATGAGTTCCTCCCCACCCGACCCTGAATTAATTATTTTCTATCCCGTCCCTGGATGCATTTCCCCACCACATTTCCTACCTGCCGCCCCTGATCCCTGAAGAATTCTCCGGTATTCTCAATGACCTGTTCATCTGACAGCTGGGAATACGGTTGCTCTCGGCAAAAAGTGAAGGTCTCCCATAGTGTCACCCCAAAAGCCCAGACATCACTGGCTGTAGTGAATTTTCCCTATGGGTGAAAGCAGAGATAGGAAGCTCAGGATTACAGATGTGTGTGCATGCACACAAACACACACACTCTCCCCTGCTCCCCCATAGCCAATTCCTCTTCCCTCATCTCAAAGAAAACATTCAGCTGGCAACAACAGAAACCACTGGAGGCACCAAGACATGTTTCCTGATCTTGTTCACATTCAGATTTATTCATGATCTGTGCCATGCTGTCTGGTGTAGCCACAGGCACCAACTTTCCAAAGTGCTGGGGAATGCTCGACCCCCTGGCTCTACCCCAGGCCCTTCCCCCTCTCCACCCCTTCCCCGCAAGGCCCCACTCCTGCCCCACCTCTTCCTGCCCAGGTCTGCCCCCAAATGGTAGCAGAGATGTAGTAATCTGCCAGTTTCCCAAAAATCGCTCAGAACAACATAAGAATGGCCATATTGGGTCAAACCAAAGGTCCATCCAACCCAGGATCCTGTCTACTGACAGTGACCAATGCCAGGTGTTCCAGAGGGAGTGAACCTAACAGGTAATGATCAAGTGATCTCTCTCCTGCTATCCATCTCCACCCTCTGACAAACAGAGGCTAGGGACACCATTCCTTACCCATCCTGGCTAATAGCCATTAATGGACTTAACCTCCGTGAATTTATCTAGTTCTCTTTTAAACCCTGTTATAGTCCTAGCCTTCACAACCTCCTCAGGCAAGGAGTTCCACAGGTTGACTGTGCACCGTGTGAAGAAAAACTTCCTTTTATTTGTTTTAAACTTGCTGCCCATTCATTTCATTTGGTGGCCCCTAGTTCTTATATTAGGGGAACAAGTACATAACTTTTCCTTATTCACTTTCTCCACACTGCTCATGATTTTATATACCTTTATCATATCTCCCTTACTTAGGGTGACCAGACATCTCGATTATATCGGGACTGTCCCGATATTTGCTTGTTTGTCCCAGGTCCCGACTGATGTGCAGTCGGGACACTGGACAAACAGGCAATTTTGCCCTCCTGTAAGGGCTCTCGCTCTACCCCCACCCCGACTCCGCCCCCTTCTTCCCCCATTTGCTCCTGTGACGGAGCAGGGAGCAGGGCAGATTTGACCTGGGAATGTTGCAGGGGGATTGCAGTGAGGAGGGGGGACTTCCCTTGAAGGAAGCTACCTGAGCTGTAACCTGAGCCAGGAACGGGGGTGGGGAGAATTAACACCTTCTGCCCAGGAGACTGAACAAAGGAGAGGAGCAGCAGGAGGAGTTTTGAGTTTAGTTTCGGTTTGGGCTGGGTGGTGCAATGCAGGGAACCCCAAGCTGGGGTCTAAGCTCCCTGAACCTCCCAGAGGGACCTAATTGAGGGGGTCTGGTCGTACCTACACGCTCTGCTTGAGACTGTGTTCCTGTCCTTAAATAAACCTTCTGCTTTACTGGCTGGTTGAGAGTCGCAGTGAATCTCGGGAAGAGGGGTGCAGGGCCCTGACTTCCCCACACTCCGCAACAACTGGTGGCAGCGGCGGGATCTACTGCACCCCGTGGATGGCGCTTCCTGCAGTAAGTGACTGGGGAGCAGTAAAACGAAGGGGGATTGACGGGGACCAGGCGTGCTGAAGAGTGAGAGAGAGACAGTTATTACCCCTGGGAGTGTGTGACCAGCGAGAAGGACTTTTGCAGTAACAGGGTCCCCCGGGGGGATCGCAGCGAGTGGTCCCAGGGGCGAAGGAGTCTGCAGCTCAACCCTGGCAGAGAGGTGGTGACCTCGAGAAGGGCTGGCACACTCAGGGG